TCTCATGTTCTAGTCAGGAAAGCGGCAGGCCATTTTCCCTTCTTTGCTCCCATTGAGGTCCACTGTTATGATTTATCTGAGGAAAAGGAGCGCTGGGTGGTACATGATGATTAAAGCTTTGTTGTTCAGTGTAATGGACTGGATTATTGCCTGGCTTCATGTTTCTAGGTGGTGGGTGATACCGGTCGCGGGAAAGGTGTTGCCTACATTGCCTGCTGAAATGCCCTTCCTGTCCGCACCTATAGCAATGCTGGCATTTGCCTTGCGACCATCCTGCTTTATCACAATGCCAGCATTTCCTTGAATTATAGGGGGTTTTATCTGGCATTTGTCTGGCATCATGTTGCATTACAGCAAACATTTTTAAGTCCTCATGTCTTTCTATCCTCCTTTTCCTATCTTTCTCCTCCTCTTTCAGTTTGTCTCTTTGATCATAGACAAAGTTAGCGATCCTGCGCAACTCTGCTATTTCTAAGGTTGGCCAGTTAGAGACAAAGCGGTGGAAATGCTCTTTGATATCCACGGTGGACTGGTCCACGAAGGCTGAAGCTAAAATCCTTTGGTCCTTCAGGCAGCTAAGGTCTAGATGGGCATATAGCTGCTTCTGACAGGCGGACCCAAAAGGCATCAGGGTTTTCCTTTTCTCTTTGTGTTGTTTTTTGAATTTCTGACCAGTTAAAGGCTTTTTACCTATTTCCTCTAAAGCTTCTAGTAAGTTATTTTTTGCTCTTGTGTATTTATCCCAGTGATTGGTATCATTGTAGTCCCAGTCAGGGTGATGTACTGGCCATGTGATGTGGGCTGGGGCTGCCTGTCCAGGGATAGTTGGTAGTTTAGCTATTTGCTCTGTTTTTTCAAATAGTTTTAATAGTTCATCTTTAGTTAGAAAGAATTGTAGTATAGCTGGGTCATATCATCCCAGGATGGATTATGGCTGTCTATGATAGATTTCAGGGTTTGAATTACTGTTTGAGGATCAGCCCTGAAAGCTGGGGTATCCTTTTTCCAGATGACCAAGTCAGAGGCAGAGAAGGGAGTGTGGGTTAAAATGTATTCTAATTGCCCCTATTTCTGCCTGGCACTGGTTTGCTTAAAAGGGGAGCCATAATCCGTGCCTCAGTCTTTCCTTCCAGGGAATGGGTTTCAGGTTTTTCCTGATCTTTTCCCTCGGTCAGGTCTTTGGTCCTAGCCGTTTCAGCCCCAGCAGTACCAATAGGGTATTTGACTGGGTTTAATGTGTGTTCTAAGTGCTTTCAGGGTTTTATAATTTAAAGTACCGCTATCAGGCCAAATTTGTCTACCCGTGTCATCCTGCAATAAAGCCCACTTTTTGCAAATTCTTTTTGCTTCTTTTTTATGCATTCCAGTCAGGACAGGCACTCGCCTTTCGTCCCAAGCCTCAAGTAATTTATCCAAGGGGGTCTCTTCCATTGCCCTCGAGCTATAACTTCCCATATTCCCTGCTTGAGGGGATTACTTTGGTTTAGCCGGGCTACAGCTGTCAGTTTTCAGACAAAAAATGTCTGGAAAGGACTCCGGTTTCCCTACACACGGAGTATGGGCCCCTTTCTTTTAGGGAAACTCAGCCGTCAGTTTTAAGGACACCCCCCCCCCCCCATTTTAAATAGGCTTACTTCACATGGAACGGAAGAATTTGGATTTGTTCAATATTTTGGAGGAAAAGCAATTCTGGCAATGCAAATAAAGTCTAGAGTAGTCAATTTCAGTCAGCTTAAGATATGTGAACTTCAAATTCTGGGAGTTGAAGTCTCACACATCTTAAAGTGTCTGAGGTTGAGAAACAGTAATCTACATGTCCCACTCAAAGGAAGAAGACAGGATTGTTGCACCCTTAAGAGACATGTTAAACTGGTGCAAAACTATGTTAAAATTAAACGCCGCAGAATTGTGGGGAAAATAGGTAGGAGTGTTAAGTATGTTTTCTGCCTTATGCTGACCAAATATACCAGAGGTGGTATTCAGCAGGTTCTGACCAGTTCTGGAGAACTGGTAGCAGAAATTTTGAGAAGTTTAGAGCAGGGGTCTCCAACCTTGTTCACTTTAAGACTTGCGGACTTCAACTCCCAGAGTTCTTCCTCCAGCAAAGCTGGCGGAGGAACTCTGGGAGTTGAAGTCCACAAGTCCTAAAGTGGACAAGGTTGGAGACCCCTGGTTTAGAGAACTGGCAAATATCACCTCTGACTGGCCCCGCCCCTATCTATCCTCTGCCTCCCGAGTCCCAGCTGATCGGTTGGATCTTCTTTTGTTGCCCTGCACAGGAGAAAGGAGCTGGAAAGCAGGTTAGTGGGGTGGGGAGGGAATGAGGATTTTGCAGTATCCTTCCCCTGCCATGCCCACCAACCAAGGCCCACCAAGCTACACCACACCCACAGAACTGGTAATAAAAAACATTGAATTCCAAATTTGAATTCATACATAAAGGGAAATAGCAGCAATAATATTTGTAGATATTATTTATTGGAGGACACATAGCAGGTAAGGCATGGGATAGCCTTCTGATTCTCCCCTCCATCTTTTGAGATTGCCTAGTTGTGAAACAAGGAGAAATGGTTCTTACCATACATCTGGACTTGTCTCTTGCAGGGAGGTCTGAATCTGATCCAGGGCCACAGGTAGTCCATTCCTGATGGGGAAAAAAACTCCCTGTTTTGTATAGGTGTTAAAGAAGAGGTTCCAAAATGTCACAGCCAATTATGGCATTGTTAAAAACGATACTTTTAGGCAGTTTTCACATCCTCATTTACTATTCCTTCATCTTACTCCCAATGAAAGATATATGCATACAGTACATAATATTCCTTCTCATTTTTAATTTATTTAATAGATATTTAAAAACAATCCAGAAAAAAAAATACTTTTTCAAGGTAATTCTTAACCCATTTCATGGGACATCCTACCACAATCAGTATTTTAGTCCTTGAGATGTCCTAAGACTATTCATAAATTTCAGCTTTCTCAATAATTACACTCTAATAACCATGACTTAATATTAATTAGAAGTAGCAATAACAGAACCCAAGAGTATCACCAAAGTATTGAAGTATCACCAGAGGACCTTTTTGGGATGTAATAAATCTTTGAACAACCTTAATAACTGTCCGGGACACTCTGACTTTTTTACCTGGTTGTATTATTGGCCTTGGGACCCCCTCTCCAGAGAAGCCCCAGGTTTGAAAGCTCTTTCTTCCTTGACATTATTATTGCTAACTTGAATCTTCCCTGTCATATGTAAAAATTGAAAGAAACCATTAACCATTTCCTTGAAAATTTACAAGCCAATGTGTTCCACAAATTCCTTTGGTGATTGGAAGTTCTCTGTTTGATTGGCCAGGAGGATGATGTCACAAGCATTCCAGTTTACCAATCAGTGTCTTTGTGGCACTTTCAACACTGACTTATTTGTTGTGCCATCAACCACTGCCTTCAGGTCAAAATATTAAAGTGTGTCAAAATATATTAAGGAACAAAATAGGTGTGTTATATTTTCATAGAGAGAGATATTCGTTGCATATGCACTATATACCAATACCAGTATTTGGCAATAATCAGTGAACCTAACTGAACATTTAACGTGAGAGAAATATTCTGATCAGGACTTATCAAAACTGTTGTCTTTTTGCCAGTTTGCTTTCTTTCCAGGACAGGCTAAAGAGAATGATAGAAAACTGAATGCTGAAGAAGCAAAGAATCACAGAGTTCAGAAACACGGGCAGATTTGCAGATACGGGTAGTGCTAGGGTTACGACCACAACTGAGTCCAAATTTATGTTGCTAACTGAAACATTTGTTAAGTGAGTTTGCCCCATTTTCCAATTTTTCATGCCACAGTTGTTAAATGAATCATTGCATTTGTTACATTAGTAACATGATTGTTAAGTGAATTTGGCTTCCCCATTGACTTTGCTTGTCAGAAGTTTGCAAAAGGAGACCACATGACTCTGGAACATGCAACTGTCATTAAGTATGAACCACTTGCCAAGCATCTGAATTTTAATCATGTGACCATTGGAATACTGCAAAGTTCGTAAGTGTCAAAAACTGTCATAGGTCACTTTTTTCAGTGCTGTTGTAACTTTGAATGGTTACTAAATGAGCTGTTGTAATTCAAGGACTACCTGTACATATTAATCCTTCATTCACTATAAGTAAAATCAGGGCACAATCTTAAATATGCTGGCCTAATTTTCTGAATTTTTGGAGTCATTGGAGTCGATGGTGTTCTCTGAGCTTGGTTGCTTGCTTGTAGTTGTTTCATTACCTGCTAGGCAGAGGTGGTATTCAGCAGGTTCTGACCAGTTCTGGAGAACCAGTACTGGAAAGTTTGAGTAGTTCAGAAAACTGGCAAATGCCACCTCTGACTGGAGATTTTACAGGATCCTTCCTCTGCCACGCCCACCAAGCCACGCCCACAGAACCAGTAGTAAAATAATTTGAATCCCACCATTGCTGCTAGGTAACATAATCAGTGTGGGATTTGCTCCCTGTTGATGTACACTAGTTTGCCCTGCCAGTTTCCTAAATTTATTGAATCGTAACTCCATCAAATGCAGTAATATAAAACCCATTTAGGATGTGATTAAGTTAATGTAATAATATGTCAATTATCACCACTTTTCTCTTTCATGAATCCATAACTTTTCTTTGGTGTACCAATGCAGGCGCAAGGATACAAGGATGCAGGTAAGTCTACCCACCACCTGTCTGTGCTTTATCTCTTTTATGAAATGTTGATATGTTAACCCTTATAATTTTAAATATGTTGACAATTGCTTTTATATTTCTATTTCACTGAACTGTAAGCAGCTCAAATTCGCTTTGGATAGTGAGGTGGCTGGCGTATGGCTTTAACGTTTTCATTAAACAAACAAACTGGGTCTTCCGGGCGCTAGGGGTCGCTGTGAGAGACGTCGGCCTTCTAGCTCCCATTCCTTCCTGCCTCCTTCCTTCTCTCCCTCCCTCCCACTCTCTCAGTTCAGGTCTCAGGAAGCGTCTCCTGGAGACGCCGGGTCTGCTTCCAGTTAGAAACAGGCGGTGGTTGCCGTTGGTGGTTCCGGGTGGCTGCTGGACTGGTTTGGGCGTGGCGGCATCATGGAGCACATCCGCACCACGAAGGTAATAGCATTCTTCCCTCCGCGCCGGCCCGTTTGGCAGCCAGCTAACTGGGAGCAGACACTTAACTTGTGGCTTGGCTAATTCCTCCGGCTGCCTAGGTTCTGCTCGGTGGCAGCGGGCAACCCTTGGGATGGCCAGGATCCGCTCCCTCCGGGCTCTCCTTCCCAGCCTGCTGCCCTCCAGATGTGTAGAATCCTCACACACACCGAATTCAAAGCACGTTTAGAACTCTTTATTCATTAAAGAATTAATTTTGGGGTGAGGGGGTGCAATACTGAGTGACAATGACAATGACCTGGCTGGTGCCTGGCATTCTGTTGAAAGGGTTTTTTTTTGTTTTGGATAAGGCAGACTGCTTTCTGCGAAGTACTTGGATGTTTCAAAGGAATCGTCCACCTTTTCAGGCTCCATGCGCTCTTCCTATCTGGAGAGGCTTAAATAAATGCATTTGCATTTCGGTTATGGTTCCAACCTAAAGGTAAATAGAATTGGAATTGCAGCAGCCTGTTGCAAGGGTTGTTACTCAGGAACTTCAGCCTCTTCTTGATCCGTTGAATTATCATTTTGACAGATTTGTCTGTCGGGTTCTCTCTTTTCCTGGAAGCATATGTTAGTGGAACCTAACTAGCAGGCTTATCAGCAGCTTTTTCATTGCTTTGGATTTTTCCAGACACCAGGACTCCACAGTTAGTTGTGATCAACATCGCTGAAACCCATTGTGTGCCACTAAAGGGCACTCATTGGGTAAGCTGCCAGCAGCGCATTTAAAAAAAAATTCAAAGGGCCCACAATAAGCAAAGATGGATGCTCTTAAAAAAAACCCTTTGTTACCATTTCCATTATTTATTAGATCTTAGCATGTGATTTTGGAAAACCTTACCTCTTCCAAATTCAGCTTGTATTTTATTGTCATTCCATGTACTATTGAATTCTGGACTACAAAATACTGAGCATTGGTATGTGAAATAAATGTAATACTTAAGAAGTTTAAGCATTTTTTCAGCACTGTCATTTTTGCTGTTGAAATAACTTTTTCTCTATTTTCTTGGCTGTTGCTGTTTTTCTGTATTTGTTTATAAATTTCAAATAGCAATTCAACTGTATAATCTTGCAATAAATCATTTTGCTGGCATTTTATCATTTTCTAGGTTTGCCTACTTTTTATACACTGTTTAACGTTTCCTCATTATTCCATATGCTGTTTTTTACTTTCAAATTTGCCAAATTAAATAATGCTTTTTGAATGGTGTGTCAACAATGTGTTGTAAATTACTCTAGCACTGTTTGGCTTCTGTTTCCTCTCTATTCATGGTTTGAGCATAGACTTGGATTAATGTAATATTGATTTGTTTTCCTTGCATTCTTGTAAGTAACTGATAATAGCCTTCCTCTGCCAACAGCTCTTGCTTTATCTCTCTTTTTGCATATCAAGCAATAATTATCAGTATTTTTAACCTGGCATTTCCCTGGTCATTATAAATACATTGGTCTGTATCTCTGTCCAATAGATGAAGCACTACGTGTGAACCAGATTCTTGGAGCATACTTTTAACTTTTGTACATCTAATACTGCAGCTTAAGATATGAAGAGTTTGGCATGAACAGGACCCTCCCTTTCATAATTAGAGACACTCATGTCCTAATTTCAGTGGATTGTAGCCTAGAGCAGCTATTTCATCTCAGGCTCCCCCAGCCTGAAAATATTTCACAGCAGAATCCAGAGGACGCTCATTTTGGTCTGGCTCCAAACAAAGTGTAAGAGCATCCTCTTCAATTTTTTTTGATATTTTTGATATCTAGAAAACAATCCATGCAGACAAGAAAGAACTATATTTTTATTAACTTTAGTGTAATCTATGAGCAAACTGCATCATAAAGACAGCTTCCTGTGCAAGAAATCATTTGGTGAGTTGAGATATTCAGTTGAGATATTGTTGAATAGTTACATGCAATACTTTGCTTTTTTTAAAATGCAGGTTGAACAGGTAAAATTACTAGACCGATTCAGCACAAACATCAAGTCACAAACAGGAACTCTTTATCTTACAGCAACTCACTTGTTATTTATAGATTCCAGCCAGAAAGAGACATGGGTAAGAAGAATAAGGTTTTATGCTTGCATTCCTTTATTTATATCTTTTTCTACATTGTGTAACTTCCAAGAAACATATGGGCTGATGTGCACAACTTTTCAAAAGTGCCATGTGACATTTATGTTACAACTCTAAAGGCAGTCTTAACCATGGAAGTTGAGTGTTTAGAATCTTTATAAGATTCTTCTTAAAAATAATCTACATAAGATTTTTCTGAGCTTCATTGCCTCTATATTACAGTGTGTATTTGAAAAATTTAAAGCTTTAACTGCAGTCTCCTGTATGAAATCAATGAGGTAGAATATATAGGCTGTATTTGCCAAAACAAAATGAGAAATCTATACTGAATATGCTTAAAGCTACTTTTCAAACAGAAAAAGAGCAACAAGCAATGTTGACATAATATTACATTATTATGCTCATTATAGTGAACAAGTAGGTCCTCTCGTGTGAACCTGATGTTCACTATGTGTGTTGGTACTGCAGCTTTCAGAATGCCCACAAGCATAGCCAATTCTGAGAGACGTAGCATCAGTACATCTGGAGATAGCTAAAAACGGGATACACAGATTTTATGCATCCTCATTAAAAACTAAGATTGTTGAAAGAGCCTTATCTGTATTGTTTAACTTACAATTTTTGTGGTTTCCTGTATGCTATAGATATTACACCATCATATTGCTGCAGTGGAGAAACTTGCTTTGACTACTTCTGGCTGCCCCTTAGTGATTCAGTGTAAGAACTTCAGAACAGTCCACTTCATTGTTCCTAGAGAAAGAGACTGCCATGATATTTATAACTCTTTGCTTCAGCTGTCAAAACCAGGTAGGGGGGCAGCTTTCTTCATTTCACTTCATTTTTTTTAAAGAACTAAACAACAAAGATCAAGCTAATATTTTTCTTTTTCCCCTCACCCTGTTTCAGCAAGATACGATGAATTGTATGCCTTTTCATATAATCCAAAGCAAAACGAGGAAGAGAGAGTGCAAGGCTGGCAAATCATTGACCTCACAGAAGAATACGAACGGATGGGTGTGCCTAACTCTGAATGGCAGTTATCAGATGCTAACCACAATTATAAGGTAATAGGTTCCTCATGCATTTATGATATACCTGTTACTTTTCTAGTGCTCTCATATTTTACAGAGATCGAATGGATTTTTGAATATTAGGACAATTGCTTTCATGTTAGGGAAGGAACAATGATTGGTTTATTATCTTCTCATTTCAGAACTCTGTCTCAAAAGCACTCTCTTGATTCATATAACTTTTTAATAATTTCTTGGAGTCCCTAACTAGGTGGTTGGATGACAAGATGATCTGCAAGAACTATTCAGGTGGTACACATTAAGGTTGAAAAGCAAATCAGAATATCTGTGTTTAGACCTGTGCTTTCTTCTTTTCCTGATAACAGAGATCAAGAGTTCTCAATATCAGAAAAATGGATGAAAGTGAAAAGGAATGAAAGAATAGAATATAGTTTCGAATATAGTTTTGAGAACTCTTGATTGGAGATTCTTAAACAAGCATTTTCCTCAGATTGTATGCTTTAGGCAATTGTTTATGATTTTTCATGTGTTTTGTCTTTTGTTCTTGTATATTTTTATTGATGGTTCTTGTTTATGTTTCTCATGTCAGCTTTCAATGCAACTAGTGAGCTGTACTCTGTTAACTTATTCTTTATGTTACATTTGTATTGAAAATATATACTAAAATAGACATCTTGTAGAAAGGAAATATGGAAATCCACAGACTTAGGATAACTGGTAGTAATATTCATCAGTATATATTTTTATCACATGATTGCCCATATTTTCACTTGCTATACTTTATTGTAAGAAAGTCAGACTTTAAAGTTTAGTAATATTTTGTTTTTGAAGAACCAGGAAATTTGGAGAATTATAATGTAAACACCCTCAACTTAGCTCTGGCTTTTATCACAAACTGTTGGACAACTATATTGCCTCATGTAAATATGTGATCAGTTGCTATGGTCTCATTCCTGATCATTACATTCAGCCAGAAGATATAGACATAACTGCATTCGAAACTATATTCTATTCTTTCATTCCTTTTCACTTTCATCCATTTTTCTGATATTGAGAACTCTTAGATATCCCAACTTAGGTGTTTCTGATAAAAATGCTAATTGGATATACAACATACCTAACATGATTTTTGTTTGCAATTCCTTTTTTTAAACCTTCACAGATTTGTGAGACATATCCTAGAGACCTTTACGTTCCCAGGAGTGCAAGCAAGCCCATAATTGTTGGCAGTTCTAAATTCCGAAGCAAAGGAAGGTTCCCTGTGCTCTCATATTATCATAAAGATAATGAGGTATAGTCTGATTTCTTTTCAACGCAAGTATCTAAAGGCTATTTTCCAGTACAGGAAAAGACAAAGTGGGTAAGTACAGTAATCTAGGTCCCTAGATCTACTCTAGAGCAAAGAAATTGAATGCTAATAATGCAAGTAGTCCTTGATTTACGACCACAGTTTGGACTAGAAATTCAGTCTCTAAACAATGTGGTCATTAAATGAGTCATCACTTGATCACGCTTGATTTTACAAACTATTTTTAACTATTATTGTTAAGTGAATTATCATGATTGTTAAGTGAATCTGGCTTCCCTAATTGGCTTTGCCTGTAGGAAGCTGGCTGGGAAGGTTGCAGATCATGATCACGAGACCATGAGACATTGCAATTCTCAAATTGACATCACATGGCCATTGAGGAGGTGGACCATCATAACTTTGAGGACAAGTCATTAATTTGCTTTCTCCAAGGTTGTTAATAACTTTGAACTGTTATTAAATGAGCAGGTGTAAGTCAAGGATAAACTGTAATAATAATATGACTGCGTATTTACGACCATAATAAGTTGTCAAATGAAATAAAGAGTATTAGTTTCCTTAATTTTCTGTTTAGTTAATAATGTAGCAATTATCCATGGTTAGAAAAGTCACAGATTGGCAGTCCTTTCTCTGAGGAATCCATAGCCTGCAGCTAGGCTCACATGCGTGATCATTAGAAGCAAGTGAACATATTGGTCAATGACAATGTCAGTGACACTGATGCGAATCAGCTATTTTTGTGCAGTAAACACAAGCTGTATTTGTGTTTTAAATCATTATATAGAAGATCTGAGCATATTCTCCCTATACACACAGACACACACACCTGCCCCCCCCCCCCCAAAAAAAGTTTTGCAAGTACAGATTTGAAACACTGGAGCCTTGGTTTTCCCTGTTTTATTTTGTTGTATTGCAAGATAGCAACACACTGACTTACTGTTCCTGCCTTCACCAGGTTTAAAGTGCAACCTTTTCTTTATATTTACCCCTCTTTTTTCTTACCAGGCTACCATTTGCAGATGTAGTCAACCACTCTCAGGATTCAGTGCCAGATGTCTGGAGGATGAACACATGTTGCAAGCAATAAGTAAAGCTAATCCCAATAACCACTATATGTATGTCATGGATACCCGACCAAAAGTAAGTTTGTAGCTGTGTTTTTCTTTTCTCCTATTTGGTTTTGGCATTCTCGCTGTCTTTATTCTTTAATTTTATCTATTGTTGAGGTTTTCCTGTTTTTAATATTTTAAGAGTAATTTATAAACTTCCCAGAGTCACTGGGTATCAAGCAGTATGTATGTCTGTAGAGATTTTCAGTCATCCAGGTCATGGCTGTCCCAAAGGTGCTCTTTCAAGAGGCAATTGGATTGTCTTGTTTTTTCTTTTGAAGACGTTTAGCTTCTCATCCAAGAAGCTTCTTCATTTCCCACTATCCTGTCAGAGCTGAAGAAGCTTCTTGGAGGAGAAGCAAGTTCAAAAGAAAAACAAAGTCCAGTTGCCTCCTGAAAAAGCACCTTTGGAACAAGCAGCATATATGTTTAATCAATTGTTATTGTTATTTCCTTCCTACTTATTGATTCTCAGTATTTTACAAATAGGGTCATGCAATGGCTCACATTCAGTTTGAAAAAAGTATTTGGAAATACATTTTGTAACTGCAGGTCTGTCAGGAATACTTTAATGCAACCATGCCTTTTCCTAGGATTATATGACAACTGTACAGTTCCAGAAATGATTTGATTCTTTTGGAATTGGAGATAGGTACCTTAATTCTGAAAAAAAGAATCTCTCTGGAATGAAGTCCAAAGTGTTGCATAGCAGTATTACTAACGTCTTAGGTGGAAAATATCAAATTGGATTGTTGTAATCCATACTGTTCTGGATTTCTTTTAGGATCCAGTATGAGCAATATGATCATTATCATCATCACCACTTGTTTTGTTTTTAGGAGTTTACACGTTCTTTGAAAGAAGGGGTGCTTCAAAATATTCATATAAAGCACTACTTTTCAAATCCTAAAGCAATCCTGATTTTTTTCTAGGCCCATGGTGCTGTTTTTGGATTTCTCAAACTTTTTGCACAACCATGTTCCTTAAAGAGACATTTTGGTTTGTAAATTGTGGCTTATGTCTTCAAGGTTAGCTAATTGTAACTTAATTTAATAACCAATAGTTAAATATATCATGGGTTACCATACTTTGTGAGTAGTAGAATAGGAAGACTTTCTCAATTCTCAATATGTTGTGAAAACTATCATGTTCATTTTATTTTCCTTATTTATTTTAAATGCCACTCTATTCCCAAAGGATCTGAGTGACTTACAGGAAACTAAGATATCTGAGGATACTGAGTTGGGAGGCAGCATGGCTAATCATTTGAGTTAGGAGAAAGAATCATGCAAAATCACAACAGTCTTAAGGCTTAGAAGCCAAGTTATAAAAATATAATTTTCTTCTGTTTCATATTGTTCAGGAAATTATAATAATTGTATATTGCTTTGCTTCCTATACATGATTAAACCTTTTTCTCCAAGCTGAATGCAATGGCCAATAGAGCAGCAGGTAAAGGCTATGAAAATGAAGATAATTATTCCAACATTAGATTCCAATTTGTTGGTATTGAAAATATCCATGTAATGAGATCAAGCCTGCAAAAGCTTCTGGAAGGTATGAATATGTGTGCCTTTCACTAATACTAAACATTTCTCGAGTACAAGATTCACTCTTGCAAAAAAGTGATTTTACATAAATCAAGTTCATATCAAAGGATTTATTGAAATAGTGTATTTCTCATGCTATACATATTGCTAATGTGAAATTCTACTTTCCAGTATTATGAGAGCTTATCCTCTTAATGAGATTTCCTCTGTTGAATATATTTCAGTTCAATTAAAACAGCTACATTTTTAATGTAAACAAGGCAGAATCATTGGGAGTCGTGCAGTATATACATTTAATCAGTTTTTAGGGTTTCATTTATGTATTGATTATTTCAGAAATTATTAAAGATTGCCATCCTAGTAATGGATATTTTATTAAACATTTATATGAATGTATAAATTATATACATATTTAATATAATGCATAATATATGTACTTATTTAATTACAATGTATTTATATAATATAATTAATATATCATTTAAATATTACTTAATTGTGGGAAGCTGCCTAATTGGAATTTCATGATTCCTTCGAGTTTAGCAGCTATTAGCACTATTTACAATAGTGATGGACAGTCCATCTGAGGAGACTGAGGAGTCGTATCTTATCAAACAAGTGCATGGCTGCATTAGTGATTCCTCATAGTAAGTATTTAAATGATAAAAGACAAGTGTGCATTCTAAACAACAGGAACATATTGAGTAAGATGATGGATGCACTCTTTTCAAGTATAATTATGTTAATTTATAAGACGAAAGGACTGTTTACACTAGATTGCTTCCGCATAATTAACAGTTAATACAAGAAACCAGAGTTTGAGACAGATTGGGGTATAAACAGGATATATAAAAGAAACTGGGATAGAGAAAAATGCTTCATATGTTTAACAAGTTCAGAAATTCAGATTTCTTCATACAGTTGCTAATCCACTTTTGATTCTTGCACAGAGAGCTGCTACTATTGCACTTGAATTTATCTGTGTTTCATTTTATTTTAGTTTGTGGAACAAGAGGCCTCTCAGTTAATGATTTTCTGTCTGGCTTGGAGAGCTCTGGATGGCTGCGACACATCAAGGCAGTGTTGGATGCTGCTATCTTCTTAGCTAAAGTAATTTGCATTTAATAATTTGTCAAAAGTTGTTAATACTGTATTATTCATTTGAGAATATAGATGGCCTTCAGTAAACACCATCAGATCAAGAGAATTTGGAAATTTCATTTCTAAAGTCTTCAACCATAGCTCAGTAGTAGAGCATATGTGTTTAATTAGAAAATCCCACATTCTGTTTGGAATTTGCCTTTTTAAAAAAGAAGTATATATCATGTTAATCACAACTGGCCACTACCTGACTTCCTAAGTAGTTTAGGTCAGTTCTTGTTATTATTTATTAAATTTATATGCTATTCATGTCACATGTATTAACTAAATATTTAGTTGGTAAGCATTCAATCCTGCCATAAGGCAATCGGTTGTGTTTCTAAAGTAAAGGAGCCAAAACTAATAGCTTAAGCAGTGATAATCATATTTTGTCATTAAGGCAAACAAGGTTATGTGGGTTGAATACTCTTGAGGGAAATTACTCTTTTCCCTCAAGCAATCAGCTGTAAATAATTGTTGAACAATTAGGTGAGATCCAGACATAAATACGCTGTCCCGGAGTGATTATGAGGAATTCTGGGAATTGAAGTCCATACATCTTAAAGTTGCCAAAGTTGAGAACACAGGCCTACAAATACGTTGAGAGTGCATTCCCAGAATTTATTTCCACTGTGACATAGATTACAGATCCTCTGGTTCTGCATTTAGGTTGGCCAGAATGTTTGGGAGTTAAGAGTTCCAGCTCATTTGAAGAATTCTTGAAAGGCTGGAATGAATTAAATATTTTAATTCAGTTGAGCGGTTGAATTCATTTTCTTTGTTATACACACATCAGTAAGCTTTGATCTCTTCACAGGCCATAGCTTTTGAGAGTGCAAGTGTATTAGTACATTGTTCTGATGGTTGGGACCGGACATCTCAGGTCTGTTCCTTGGGTTCTCTATTACTGGATCCCTTTTATAGAACAATTAAAGGATTCATGGTAAGTATGCAAAGCAAGCTTAAGTCACACTCGGCCAATGTTAAAGCTCACCAACTTTATTAAATTTGCATAATTTTGTGTTTCAGATGTGTTCATCTGCTTAATAATGAAGCTATTGAACATAGCACTGTGCATTAACGTTCAAACGTAATTAAATTATACAGTGGATCCCAATTCAAATAATTCTTGAATCAGTAAGAGTCAGATATTAACTACATATGAATTTTAAAATAAGTAATTTCAAAAATGTTTGAAACAGATAAAGAAAACCAGACATTATACTGATATTTTCTCAATAAATGGGGAAAAAGATTATAAGCTATTGATGTGTTTCTGGTGCTAATTTTAAGTTGTAAGCACGCCAGTTGAGTCTGCTATATCCGGTAACTTGGACTAGATATAAAGATTTCCTCTGTGCCTTGTTTTTTAAATCCTGTAATTAATGAACTTTACAGTGTTATTTGAAACCTGCATTTTATGTTTCTTTTACTTGTGGTATTTATATAGAAAGATATATGTATAATATAGGTAATTCTCACTGACCACAACTGGGATTGGTATCTCCATTGCTACAATTACAATTATACAATTGTATAAGTACAATTATTAAGTATGATATTATGTGATCACACCAACATGTCAGTTCTAGCTGCGTTAATCACATGCAGTCATTAAGGGTGATGTCATGTGACCACAACTTGCAACTTCCTTCCAGCTTCGCCATTGGCTTTGCCTATTAGAAGCTGACTGTGAAGGACGCCAATGGCAATCATGACTGCAGGATGCTGCAACTGTTGTAAGCATACACTGGTTGCCAAGCATCCAAACTGTGAACATGTGACCGTGGGGACACTGTGATAACCATAGTGCCCAGAACCTGTCACACACATCCTCCTGTTCTAGCAACGGTATAACTTTGAATGGTTGGTAAGCAAGGAGTACTTGTAGTCCTCATCTTCCAGCTCTGGAAAACTTGTTTTGTTTTCTCTATCGAGCTAAGAAATCCAGAATGAAAATGGTGACTTGGGAAATATTTTTTAAATTAAAACATAAAGCATACTACATGATTAAAAACTGATACATGATTTCTTCTAGGTTTTGGTGGAAAAAGACTGGATTGCTTTTGGACACAAATTTTCAGATAGGTAATGTTTTTCATTTTAAAAAGTCTACATTTGAATTCTTTATGTAATGTGCTTTATCATGTTAAACTAATATGCAGTGTATAAGCCTGCATATTGTAATCTTGTTCAAACATATTTCAGTTTAAATTAGAAATATATATTTACTTTGTTTTAGAACAGTTGATTGCTTTATATACTATTCAAGATTTTATAAAGATTGAAAAAATAAACCCGAGCAGCCTTATTTCCAATTTAATTAACTGACTTAACTCTTAACTGTTCAGATTTTTTTGAATGCTATACAGCCCTTTTCTGATTTTTAGCAGGTTGTATGTTCAAATGATCACACACACCCAACACTCTTTCTCTCGCTGGAAGAGCTATCCTTATTGCAAAGGATTTTTTGGCAAAACAGTCATAGACCATTAACAATAAGTACCTTTGCCATTATTACTTGCATAGATGCTGCATAAGCTTCAATTCCCCCCCACCCCCCTTCTATTTTCTGTTATTTTTCTAACTGGACTTAAAATTAAAAATTTATATTTGAATCATTAAGGTCCAAATGCTGCACACAGTTTCCCCAATGTAATTGTTGTGATGTATTTCAGACAGCATTCTATTCCATGCCAAGAAAGCCATTTCTCTATGCCCTGTTAATAGACATAAATAGGGCAGGAAATAGAGCAAACACACTAATTTTGCAGAGTGGGTAGTGCTGAAATTTTTAAGGATTTCTTTTGGAGGATTTGGGGTTTTGCATGGAGTGTTATGGATACCTAAGTCATTGGAAGGCTAAAGGCAATCATTTTGTTCCTTAAACCTATGCAATCCATCCCCTCCCCAAAATCAAATGCCAATATTTCGCTTTGAACAATCTAGAGGTCCCTGGGAGCCATAAGATATCAGCCACTCCAAACTATATGGTGGACTGGGTGTGAAACAAGTCAGGATCCCCAAAAAGCAATTTTATAGCGAGCGCTGTGTTCTCTTGTGGCAGTCCAGTGGACGTGCCTAGAAATTTTTTTGTGCCTGAGTAATGATTGCCCTCTTAACTGTGTTAAAAGTATAATACAGAAAAAAGGTTTACAAAAGGACATTTCATTTCATTTTTTACAAGTCTTTATGTGTAACCATAGACTGCTTAGTGAACGTTCCTCATATACTCTGGGAAATGCATCATTTTTATCTCTCACTAACTAACATGGAATATTATATTTTATAGATGTGGACAACTGGATGGTGACCCAAAGGAAATATCCCCAGTGTTTGCCCAATTTTTAGAATGCGTCTGGCACCTGACAGAGCAGTTTCCACAGGCCTTTGAGTACAATGAAGCTTTTCTCCTTCAGATCCATGAGCACATCCATTCCTGCCAGTTTGGAAACTTCATTGGAAACTGCCAAAAAGAACGAGAGGAGCTCAAGTAAGGCTCTTAGGAACAATATATTACCACAGAACTGCACTTCTCCATATATTCCTCCCTCCTCCCTTGTGTCTTTTCTTCCACCATTTTTGTGCTACAATTAAAAAGCCTCCCACTGTTCTTACAGATCAATACAGAAAGGAAGTCCCCATCTTCAGGGACTTACAGTCTGAAAAAAAAAATCACTGTCTAAAGTATGGGAGGGACAACAGTTTAAAATAAAATTTCAAAAGAGAAAAAAAGGAGAGGAGAGGGAGGGGAGGGGAATGTGGTGGCAAAACAGAAATAAGAGTTCCAGTACTTAATCTTTCTTTCTGCTACAGCCTAATGGAATGGCTGCACTTTACTGCCAAAAGTAGTCAAAGAGTTTCCCCTCAGGGCTATTAAATATTTAACTATCAGATAAAATCAGTACTAGAAATCAAGCTTTGCTAGGCTGAACAGGGAGGTAGCTCTTTTAAGTGCTGATGGCTTAGAATCCTTTTTCACATGGAGGAAACACTTACATATTGTGGTGGGGGGAGAGAAAGCTACTTGTTTGGGTTTTAATATGTGCAAAATCTTCCTGAGATTAATATATTTCTTTAATATAGACGGAAACCACATGAACCTAAGTCCTCCTTCGATATCTTTTCTTTTCCTCCCTTTGATGGCCATTTTACATCCTGAAATTCCTTCCAGTCAGTTTGTTGGGTGTGAGCTTTGGAACCGAATAGATATCCGTCTTGTAACCTCTTTTTTGTCCTCTTTAAATTAGGGAATGTTTGTGGGATAGAAATGGGCAGGAAGGCAGTGTTAAACAGTTCTTTGTAGTTCATAATTGTAATTTAACTCTGTTCTTTATGCCTTTCTTATCATAAATATCTCACATTTTGTGCACCTTGATACAGTGTAGATATTCCTCAGCCACTGCCAAATGTTTAATTCTAGGCTCTCATTATTTTAAGATTGAAAGAGAAGACTTTTTCCTTGTGGCCTTTTCTTTTGGATGACCGCAGGAAATACCTAAATCCAATCTACAATGAACATTTTTCACGGTCACTTTCAATTCTGGAGCCGGATACAGCTGCTTTTAATTTTAAGTAAGTTTCAATGTATGCATTTTATAAACCCATCACCTGGATTGGAGTATTAACGTAGCATTGTGTTGATAACATACAGGTTTTGGAGAAACATGTATCATCAGTTTGATCACACAATGCATCCCCGGCAATCTGTATTCAGCCATGTGATGAGCCTGAGTGAGCAAAATAAACAACTGGAAAAAGATATTAAAGAATTGGAAAATGTGAGTGTTGGCAACTAATTTCACTCCTGACTCCAAAATAGGACCAGCTTCCCCCTCAAAAATAATTTCCTTATTCCAAAATTAGGAGTGATTTTAATCTCCATTCATTGTTTCGTGTAGTATTTATAGTTTGGCGGAGGGTTGCTTTTGTGTTTTGCCATTGGATATAGAAAATAAGAGTCCACTGATTTGATATCCAGTTGAATTTTTTGATTTCTTGTACTACAGTCTCCAGTACTAGCATTTTTACTACTTTACAGTAGATAGCTGATTGTAATAGTAAATTGGTAAAATCACTTCAGTCTAGAGTTACTGCTCACCGGGAACAGGAGGATGGATGGATGAACAATCAATACAATAATTTTCTATTTATTTATATTGTCATATTTATATTTATATTAGAAGTGGTAACCCCTTGAGAGCTGTATGCAATGTAATTTCATTTTAATGTATGCCAATTAGCGTACATTCAAAGTGACAATAAAGTATCCTAAGTCTAAGCCTACTACAGGGAAGCAGTGGGTGAAACTGGAGACCAAAGTGAGAGGAAACCCTTATTTAGTCCATGATATCTTCAAGTAGAAGGTTAGATTAACATAACTGGAAAGGGCCTCCAGTGGAGGGTAGGAAGGCCATTACTTGTCAGAGGAGACAACGTAAAAGCCAGTGACTAGACTTAGCTACAAAGTAGTTTCCTATCCAAAAGACTGGAGGCTAGAATAAGTACTATTTATTACTAGTGAGACAGTTGAAAGAAAAGAGATAAAAGCTACTAATTCTGAATTATGTTTCTTAATATTAGAAATTGGGCCACAATTTACACAAGGATTTGGATGCTGTCTTTGCCAAGGAATCTGTCTGTCCCGTGTCACCAGGAGTTAAAACCTCACTCTGCTTTAAGAAGGAGCAGCCTCTCTTTGACGAGAATGACTGTGTTCGGACAATAGAGGGCTCCAACACAGCAGACAACCGATACAGCGAGTACATGGAAGAGTTCTCCAAAACAGAGCCTACTGTTGTCAGCCTGGAATACGGAGTGGCAAAAATGACCTGTTAAATGTCACACAAAGCAGTTCTGCTTTTCTGAAAAGATTGAAGTTCAGGACAGGGCATTGTGAGTCTGATCTCTTGGAATGTAACCAAAAACTGATGTGTGCAATGGAGTGCTTCATTAACGTAGACTAGAGTGCACATTAGTTTTGAAAATGTCATTCTTATAAGAGGTAATTGAATTTAATGATGTTGAAAAGGATATGAAGAACTTAGAAAACCTATTATGGGAAATTGGGGAATGAAAGTCAAACATCACAATAAATTATAGCTACACTAGCTTATTCCAAATGGTCATTGGTTTTGATTCTGATGGAGTCATAGTAAACCCATTGAAATTAGTGAGATTTAAACAAGCCAAGATTTCAGTGAATCGACTAACATATGATTACTACTAATTCACCCAGTCTGATTATTGCCAAATAGTAAATGATATTTGAATGTTTGCTTTTAGGATGAAGACAATTTACTGGGATCAGTGAACATCTGTATATAAATGTAAAGTGGGTGTATGTTCCTGTTTATTGCCTGTTACAGTATTTACAGTGATATTTACATCATTAATTAGTATCAAGGTAGTAAGAATGATATTCAAATATATTTGTTCTGCTCATGTTTTGAGAGCAGTTCATTTAGAATATCTAAAATATGCTTAGTGACTTCTTTAAATTATTCTCTTTCAAAACAGTACCATGAGATTCACATCAGTAATTATGGAATATCAATTTCATGTATTCAGTTTTAACCAATTATAGAAGTAAGAAACCTTTCTCTCTTTTTACTTTATGATGAAGCTCTAGTTATAAAAATAAGTTTAAAAAAAAGGTTTTCTACCTGGTTAATAAGTTAAAATTTTAGCCCCAAGTCTGTGTACCTTCCATATACTTCTGTCCAGCTATTAGAAGTACAGTTCAGTTGATAAAAATGGATAAACCAGGAGTGTCGCATGTATTTCAGAATTGGAGTACTCATTTCCAAGAATAGGCTATATTTCAGAGTTGTCATATTTTTAGGCTTCTTGCAGTTCTGTATAAAGAAACTTGAGCATTCAGTAAAATGGAAAGTATAAGAACTCTACCTTTTTGATTGGATATATTTGCAGTATCTGGCAAGCTTTTAATCTGTTTTGTAAATCTGCTTTAGAAGGTGGAGCTTAATTTGAAATAAAAAGCTTGTTTTTCAGTCAGTAGGATTATCACATTAATGTATAAGGTGAATAAATGTGAATTACTAATCAAGTAGCCACTTTTGGGTAAAGGCTAAGAACAAACTAAAATTTAGGTCTACAAGCCAAGATGACTGTAGAATCTCAGATGTTTTGAAAATGTATTAATGTTGACATTTACTATCCAGGACAGTATCCCAAAGTCACAGGAAACAGATCTCCAGTTAAGCAGAATGCTTAGGTAAAAAGATATGCTATGTATTTGTATAGTAAATCAGTGTGTTCCCAATATCTTTGTTTTTACTTCAGCAGAAAAAGGAATGGATTTGCATTAGTGGGACTCTGTCTCTGTTTGCTTTCTCACAATTTGTTTTAATTGTTCAAATGAAGAAAAGAAAATTAATATTGAAAGCTGATATGGTAAACAGGCATGCCTTGGGGATATCAAACATCCCAGGTGGTATAATAGGTAATTTGTACCTGAGGGACCAAATGCTTATTACACACACAGTGAAAATTAAGTTTAGCTTTGCAGTAATCATTGAAGGCTGCGTGAACATTACCGCCATTGGGCTATATAAAACCTGGCACAGTTGGCTGTCTCATTCTATCTTGGTTGGGATCCAGTCACACTAATAATAGGTAAGGAGAATAATAACAGGTAAGGAGAATCTTACCTAAAACACTTCAAGGGTCACATTATAACAATATGAAGAAGGAATAAGTGGCAAAAAATAAGTTTTTTGATATCCATGATAGACCTATTTAACTACAAAAACCGATTAAAAGGAGAAAATGGGATCTATCATTTACCTAAGAGATGGTGCATTCTCATTTATTTTGCCTGTTTAGGCATTGTGCAGATCTTGCACAGCAGTAATTTTGAAAAATGTTAGGGCAGAGAAATTTGGATCTCTAGTTGTTTTTCTCTCCAGTTTCTTCCTATAGATTAATAATCGCTTGTTATCAGATATACTTAAAGTATAAGACCAAACATTGTATTACAAATTATTTCTTGCAACTGTGTTCTGATTAAAAAAAACAAACTGTGTAGCTGCATTAATCTTGCTGAACAGTTATATAAGTAGCTTCTTGAATCATCTTCAATAGTAGAAATGCAGGTCTTTGGATATTTCATGTCTCATGTAAAATTATCTGCCTATATTTGTTTCATATTCTACTTTTCCATCAGGAGCTGAAGGTGGTTTGCATAGTCCTCCCTATTTTTCCCCACAACAACCACCCTGTGAAATAGGTTGGGTTAAGAGAGAGTGACTGAACCAAAATCACCCTTTGATAGCTGAGGTGGGCTCCCTCCCCCCTCCCTCTCTCCCCTCCCCTCCTATTACTGGGATGCAAGAGAAACGAGGAATCAGAATACTTGAGAGACAGATTATAACAGGATGCCCTCCACCTGAGTGCTCTTAATGAATGTAATTGCTGGAATGACTGATCTAGCAAAATGTATAACTTATACATCAGATGCAGATGACTGGAACCTAGCTATGTGACAGTTTTTAAACAGAGAATCAGGAAAGTATAGGCTACTCAGCTTCATGTTTGTCCTTAACAAATTATTGAAATGATTATTAAAGAATGAATAACTGCCCACAGCTTTACTGAGAAAAAAATCCATATAGATGGCAGTGATTACATCAATTCTGTGCTTGGATTTTCAGAAGTCTAACAAGGTTCCTTACCTAAAACTCTAAAGAAGAGTTAGTGTCAGGCTGTGTATTGGCTAAAAAGGAGAAAGTGGAGAGTAGAAATAAATATTGATCATGGATGTAAGAAGCGGAGTTCTTTAAGGATCTGTATTGAAACTAATGCTTTTTAACTTATTCATAAATGATCTTATACTAAGTAGTAAATATGTCAAATGTGGATAACTCTGTTTATGATGGTGGTGAATAATAAAAAAAAAATCTTTAAATTGGATGAGTAGTCAACCAAATTGCAAGTGTGATTCAGTTTAAATGGGTGTAAAGTCTGCCCCGTTTGGGGCAAAGCATTCTTAACATCACCATATGAATTGGTATGATTGATGTAAGTACCAGAAAAAGATCTTGGAATTCTGAAGGTGGTAGTTGTGGGGAAAAAAAACAATTCTATTCTGGGGATCATTAAGATAAGAGTTGAAAATAAAACTGCCAACATTATAAAGCCCTTAAACAAATCTGCTGGGTGCGTGTGCATTTGCCCACTGTGCACATTAATAGCCATCATTAGGGCAATTTGTCAGTATGTGGCATATAAGAAGGAGGGAGATTTTAAACTCGCTCTTGCTGTGCTATTTTGTTGGACAATGCCCCTTTCATCACATAGCTGCTCATGGGTCCTGATCGCTGCTAACGAACTGCCTTCCATCCAATTTCCAGGTCAGGCATAAAAGGCTCTGCTAGTAGAAAATTTAGCTATTGCTATGCCTCAACACATCTGGAAAATGTCAGATTTAAGAAGGCATGACATAATTTTTAAAAAACCACAATCTCAGGTGCTACATGCAGCAACATATTTTATATGAATTAGTCTTTAAAATGTGCTCAAGTAATTAGATATTTGGTTAACTTATGTATGTCTTGATGCAGGTTTGGTAACTTGAATATTACTTTTCAGATTTAGATGTAGTTTTACGGCTTCATGGTGGGTATTCTGACAAGCTGTTTTTCAATTACTCCTCAATATCTATTTAATTAATAATTGCCAAGTTCACATTCCTCATATCACCATCCAGTTCTTGTTGGAGGCATCTTTTAAGGCACTTCCGGTTGAAAGGATTAGTTGGTAACATCACTGTTGCCCTGGGGATGCTGGGTGCGGGAAGTCCTTTTACGTCCCTCCATCAAGAAGCTGGAGCAAATGATGGGAGCTCACCCCACCATGCAGCAGAACTTGGGTCTTGAACGCAACTCCTAACCTCCAACACCAGCATCCCACCCACATGAGCCACTGTGTTTCATATTCTTCATATTTTAAAGCCTCAGGATACCTGTTGGATCAGGCCAAAAGCCTGTGAGGTATCTGATCCACTGGGCCAAATGTTTGAGAGGATTAAAAGCTAGATTATGACCAGATCACCTGTTTGTAAAAGTCAAATCATCAAACTAAATCCCAGGATAGATAGCATCTATGATAATATACCATGAGGAGTTTTAAATTAAAAAGTATAACAATATTTTAATATTATTTTTAAATCATTGGTGAGGTCTCCACTTATATTTGCTAAAAACTGGTAACTTTTCCAAGATTTCTCTCACATGGCAATTTCCTTCAGCTGTAAAAACCCAGACCTTAAAATTTAATGTTTCTTAAAGCAGTATTTCATGCTCTACATTTCAGTAGAAAAAAAATACTTAAATCTCTATTCCAGTGTAGATACAACACCACAAAAGCATCAAGTATCAAAACTGTTTCTTGTTTTCCTAATTACAGCTCTCCAAACACATTGCTATCATGAGAAAACTTAGCTGATGAGTCTGGGGTCTCATGCTCTGAAATATTTTAGATTTTTGTTCAAACTAGAGTATTTTCCTTACATATTTATCTAAGTAGAGACTTTTTGTTTACAGCACTATTCCAGTAGATGCTTAATTTTATTTTAGAAATATGTTTAAGTTGTACACCCATATATTAGGTGAAGGATGTGCTTTCAAAGCTAATCTTCAAGTGGAATTTAATCTAGCCAGTTTTACATCAGAATCAGACTGCATCCTATTGAGATGCCTGATTTTTTTAAAAAATATCTCACTATGAAAATCTCATGCAAATTTTATGTGATCCCTCAGGTGCGTATAGTCATTAAAGATGCTTATAACAGAATTGTGCAGTAGGCTGCTTTTTCTTTAATTGGAGCTTTAAATTCCCAACAATTCAGTTTTGTAGGACAGTTGCCAAATGGGCATATGAGGAAGTACAGCAGGGCTCTGTGCATTTTCCTTCCATATCCAATTTCCAGTGACCTGAATCCAGGAACGTGGCAATTTAAAAGCATTTCTTCACAAAGGGGAATACAATCATCTCTACAACGGGCCTTGTCTCACCCCTTCCCCCTCTACTGTTTCAAATTAAAAGCCATTATCACTTTATGAGCTTCAGAAATAGACTGACATAGAGAACAGTTTCAGTTCTCCCCGAACATGACAGAAAGTCCTCCCAAGAAATACTCTTCTATATTTTCCACTGCGGCATTATTATTATTTTCTTCCCAAAGTCTCTTTCATTGACTCTTAACAGTAAAGTAGTAATAGTCTATAAATTGATTACTCTGGTGACTACGTCAAAGAAAATAAAAGTAAAACCCACAATGCAATTCCAGGGTAAAATAGATAAAGTAACAGTAGTGTGTCACATTTGGAAAGCATCACTCTAAATCTATAGCCTTACACAAAATAATCCCATTTCCATTAATTGTTTGCCTAACAAAACCATTCACAGTCATTTTATCAAGAGAGAGACCAAACACTGAGGCCAGATGGCCAAACTTTTACCTAGTCTGTGATAGGATATGATTGTTGCCATTTGTTTTCCATCTCCACTACAATAATCGTCCCTTTGTGAATAAGCTGTATTGCCTTTAGTTATATTTTTTCTAGCTTCCCACCA